CTTGGGTAGTGAAGGGGTATAAATTCCATCTCTTCTCTTCCTCTTCTTCTTCAAGTTTCCAGTTTCTTATAGTTCAAGCTAAGTAGCCGGGGGGAAGGGGGGAGAGATCACAGACTTGGGAAAGTGAAGATTGAAGAAAGAAAGCAATTTTAAAAAAGAAGCCCCCGTTTTTAAATCCAGGTCAGGAGCCCATTGCCCGAGCAGCACCAGCTCCGAATGAGTGCTCGTGCCAAGGGCTTGATAGCCGAGAGTGGCTGGGACTGAAATTCTTGGATGACGCCAACGGTGCCGAGAACAGATGAACGGTGTTGATGTTCATACATCCTGTTCCTGATAGCACAACACACCAGGCAAACTAATGATTGTCTGTTCATTAGGAGTCATTTGGTTTGCTAAGCGGTGGGAGTAGGATTTTGAGTCGCTAGGAAATGTTGACAGGTGGGTGAGGGTTCTGTTAGGCTTCTGTTGCCATCTCGAGGCAGGTGGGAAACCGTCTTTCGTGCGGAGGACGTTGCAGGGCTCTCATCCCTGCTAAGGACAACCATCGAAAATTACCATCCCAGAAGAGAAATATAAAAATGACTGGGAGAGAGTGCAGGATTGCCAGTGACTCAGCCATGGGTGGTCCAAGAGATGCACCGTAGTCTCCAAGCCCCGTTGAAAAGCAGGCTGGGGGCACGAGATGAGTGTGTTTCCACGACCTTCGCCACACACACCCTGTGCTCCACCACTCCCCCTCCCTGAGGGTCAAACACGGCCTGCAAACTTATAGAATCATAGAATGTTAGAGTTGGAAGGGACCTTGCCGGTCATCTCGTCCAACCCCCTGCACTCTGCAGGAACAGAGCCGAAAGACAGCCCTACAACACACCCGAAAGAGGGTCGTCCAGCCTCTGCTTGAATCCAGGAATCCTCAGGAATCCAGCGTGCTTCAGAAGAGACTGTGGACAGCAGGGGACCATGCTGTGCATTCAGAGAGTCCTCCTTCGCTATCCAAACTCCACAGCACTGTAGGAGGTGTGGCGAACAGGAACCGCTGCCCAACATTTCCCCACCGCTTGCAGACATGAGTTCATGCCAGCGCAGAACATAAGAACATCAGAAGAGCCCTGCTGGATCAGACCAGCGGCCCATCTAGTCTAGCCTCCTGTCTCCCACAGTGTCCGACCAGTTCCTCTGGAGGGCCGGCAACAGGCCTTCTTTGGATTCCTGGTGCTGGGATTCAGAGGTTGACTGCCCTTGAATGTGGAGGTTCCGCATGACCAGGAGGGGCACCCCAAATGACACATGCAAAGGAACCCCCCCATGCACCGAGTGGTGTCAGGTTCCACAGCCAACAACGGAGTACACGCTTATCAGAAAGGTTATACTTTATTGAAGAGCTATAGATGCATTAACAGAAGCACT